GATGAGATAAAGACCAAAATAAAGAGGAGAAAAGGGAGAATAGGATAACGGAAAAATATAATAGTGAGAAAATATTATAACGGGGACGTCCTCTCACAGAGGTGTTCCGCTTCATTGTCGGCTGCAACAACGGTGCGGGTCTCTTGAACGAGAGTACGGTGTGGCTCCTGAACCTTCTGCGCGACGAGCGTCTTGAGCTGGCGCGTATCCAACGTTGGCGAACGTTGTACGCCGTGATTCGGTTCGGCATGAACCTGCTGATGTCTAGCCGCAATTACGAGACGACCTCGTTCACCATTCCTGGATGGGATGGCACGTTCAAGGTGGTGCGCACTAGCGGGACGGAGGTGAGCAAGTCGCACGTTCACTCTGCGTCCATATGTCCGTAATGAGGCTCACCCAAAATCAGCGGTAACACAATACCATACGACTCGTGGCTCGTCATTGCATGCACGCCGTTATCGAGCTTATTGGGAATCCAGAGAACGCCGAAGGGTTCTTGCTTGAGCCACGCCAAGTAAACACGGCTGCTGGTCATGTGTACACGACGCCAGAAACCGGCACGTTCTGGGAATATGCGCATACGGCAGCACAGGCGGAGTATGGACCTAGGGCGGTGGTGCTTCCGCTCATTCTCTCAAGCGACGCGACTATTCTAAGCGGAAATGAGCGCACCCGAGTGTGGGCGGTGTATATCTCCATCGCTAATATCCCGCTGCGGCGCCGATGGCTTGACTGCGGGAAGATTCTGCTGCCGATGCTCCCTTTCGCACCGGACAACACCTCCCCGGCCGAGAAAGTGGAGCTATTTCAGGCGGCGATGAAGATCGTGCTGGCCGATCTTATCGTCGCCAGTCACACGTAAGTATAGGCGCGTCTTCTTTACTGACATCGGCCAGTCTGTATGCCCATGGCCTTGGCTGCCAACTCGTCAGGTGTTACATAATGGCACGGTGGCTAACCTGTGCGCGCCTCCGTCCGTCGTGTCCTTGGATTGGCAGGGGAATAGCAGCCAAGGATCCGAACGAGGTGGACCACTTCTTTGTGCCTCTGCTGTTCTCATACGTTGCTGACTACCCCGAGACTTGCAAGGTCTCGTGCACGCAGCAGCTGGCCTCGGCGATGCCTTGCTCTATCTGCTACGTGGGGCGAGGTCAGCTCCGGGACATGGAGCGGGAGCCAGCCGACCACCGCACGGATCAGCAGCAGGAGCAGCTGGTGGGCGACCCGACAGAGGCGAAGGCGTACTCGACCATTCCAATCCCGGTAACTATACCACACGGTCGCTGCATTATTTGTTGGCTCGTATGTGTGAGGGCTTTGGTCCCCGCGGTTCGTTGCAGATTCCCCTATATGGCCCATCCCTGACCGTACTCCCCAATGGCAGTGTTTTTTGTGGGATTTCAACTTCAGCCGTACCCTGTGGGGCAACACGTACCTGGCGCAAATGCCAGACATTCGGCACGCCATCTACATCGGCTTCTGGCTCTACATACGGAGAGTCCTGCGAGGGTCCGGCATTATGGCAAGATGGAAGGACGAGTAGGTAAAGATGGCATTTGAGCAACCTAGTCGCACCTCAATAGTGTGGTCTTATATCTGAACGTACCTCTTTTTTTCTCCGTCACTCCGTTGCAGGCGCATGCAGACCATGTATCCCGACGCACGCCTGGCAGGACTTCGCCCTCCCGGGTCTGGCAGCTACTGGGCCAGTGGCGCAAACTTCACCGCCAGCGAGCATGCCTCTGCCATGATGGTGCGTTACGCTGTTTTGTACGGACGGCTTTCCCGGCGAATGCCGACGCAGTGTACTCTAATACCGTGAGCAAGGCTGACCACCCGCCCTGCCGTGTCGCACCTCGCACCGTTCGCGCTCAATGGGGAGGGTGAGGTCGTCAATAGGTTGGCGCTCGTGACTGTGCTCGAGTGGCACGAGTCTGGCGTGCGCGCTCCAAGTCACTTTGACGTATCCCTTGGAGACTTCGAGCAGGCCACAAAGAGGTATACCGCCATGTGGGGAGGAGTGAGGCAGTTGTCTCTTCCTACCGAAGCTAGCTAATGGCATATTGGTCGGTGTACGCAGGATGATACAGACTGTGGAGTCCGTCTTCCCACGTGAGGGAGATGGGTGGAACCTAATCAAGGTCCATCTCCTCACCCACGTGCCCGAGTTTGTAAGGCGCGCCGGGTTACCGAGCCAGTACTCGGCGGCTGTGTACGAGAACGCACACATCCGCACGTGCAAGCTGCCCTACAGGACCTCCAACCGACGCCAGCCTCTGCAGGCGATCGCGGTGCACAACGTGCGCGCCGCAGCACTGGCGCAGCTGACAACGGCCCTTCTAGCCCGCAGGCGCAACCAGACGGCATTGACTCGGGTAGGGCTGTTTGCTGATAGGTGAATTTCATATGCGACGCTTGTGTCTTATGACATTCGGCTAATTTGCACCTTTACACCATTGCACCGATGCATCCTCCTCCAGGCCATTGCGGCGGGCACCCCCCAGCTGACGGCATCGCGCAAGTCCCTGACTGCGCGGCCCGACCTTTGAGGAGATCAACAAGGCCGTGGGGGGGCTCCTGATGTACTACGACACTGTGATGCGCCACGCTGGCCTGCGCCCCTTCCCCGCCTGGGTAAGTGTGTCACATGTAGTCGACAGCTGGTATAGTCTAAGCTTGTCGTGTATGTACATGGCTGGATCCGCATTATGACGGCGGGGCGAATCCCTACACCCACGTGTGCAAGTCTCACCCTCTCTGTGCTATCCCTGCCGCACATAGACCACGTGATTTTCAAGCCTCCAGTCTGACCCTATACCACCCTGTGCGCTACAGGCGCACACGGCAGTGGCGCTGCCGGCGCAGCCAACCGACCACGGGCACATCAAGCCCCATTATGTCCGGGCTGCAGCATCGCTGCACGGGCGCACGGCTTTCTCCTGCGTGGAGTACGGCTCGGCCCATGGGCAGACCCAGTACGAGCGGCTGCTCATGCTGCTGGATGCAGAGCGTCCGCTCGACGACAGCAGGCATGAGCCTGTAGAGGTGGCCGTGCTGCAGAGGCTGACCCCCCAGGGCCTCGATGAGTGCACAGGCTGCCAGATGCTCGGCCCACCCGGGTACTATCGCGGGCTCGCTGTCGTCCCCATTTCCTAGCTCCGCCGCACAGTCCACTGCGTGCCGTCGTTCAATGAGCGTGACCTCTGGTACCTCAACAAGTGGGCATACCTTATCAACGAGGAACGGGACTAGGATGGTGAGCAGGGGCTCACAGTGGTAACGCAGCTTCACATGTGGCGGCAGCGTGTGTGCCTGCCCTTCTGATGGTTACCGTGCTGCGTTCATGGCAAACCCTTCAGCAAGCCTCGCGGAACCTATAAACCATTGCTTGCTTGGTGGAAAAGCGAGTGTGCGCCTGCACATCCTTATGCGCATCCATAATGCCCTTGTACTTCTATACGTACCATAAATGTTTCCTATTTTCGCAACAGCGCTGTTTTGAGTTGGCTACAAAGTGGGTGATTGCACTTGCTACCATTATTGGACGGACATAGCGTAACCGGCACCGGATGTGATTCCTGGTATGCAACTGAGAGGGCTGCACAAACCAGCGCAATGTCCAGAGAGTCATTTAGGTTACTTCTGACATGCCACCCCCTAGCATACCCTGGCAGTCCTTTGGTTTTGCCGTTCGAGCGTCCGCAATATTTTTGTGAAGTCCTCCTGCTGCTCCTCTACTGCTCACTGACGATAGCTTTCCGGCCCATATCGAGGCAGATCGTATCGAAGCAGCCTCCTGCTTGCCGCAGATCATTCGCGCGGATAGTTTTACCTCGCGTGAGGCAATTTCTCGCTGCGCGGCGGGCGGAGAGAGCATCCGCGGGGGGGCGTAGAGGCGGGTACAGCCGGACAGCGAGTTCAGGGTTGCGCGCATCCTCCGCAGCCACGCCGCAGGCTTTGACGGCTCACACAGTGGCTCTCAGGGCAATCTTCACGGCCGCGCTGCTACCTATCCCGGTGAAGCATCCGAACGCGTGCACGTGGCCCGGCGTGAGTTGCGCCGCGAAAGGAGTCAAACTCATATGCTATAGTCTGTGTAGGCTGTAGTGGGGTAGACAATATGGGGTACAACACTTTTAGGTTTTCCTACTTGTACCCACCTGCTTCCTAGCTCATTCATTCCTCATTTCTTCACATGGTATAGAGCAGGTTCCCTAGTGGGAACGCTTCCTTGGGCCCACCACTGAAAATTGTTTTCTGACCGGAGCGCCAGTCGCTCCTGCCCGAGGGGCGCCTTGTGTGCCGCCCTTCTAGGCCCCTCGCGGCCCCTACGCGGCCCTGTCAGCACCCCTCGCGGCCCCGTCGCCGCCCCTCGCGGCCTTGTCGCCACCCCAAGCGGCCCCGCCGCCGCCCCTACTGGCCCCGTCCCCGCCCCTACGCGGCCCTGTCGCCTCCCCTAGCGGCCCCGTCGCCGCCCCTACGCGGCCCCGTCGCCGCCTCTACGCGGCCTCGTTGCCGCCTCTTGCGGCCCCGTCGCCGCCCCCCCTACGCGGCCCTGTCGCCGCCCCTACGCGGCCCCGTCGCCGCCCCTAGCGGCCCCGTCGCCGCCCCTACGCGGCCCCGTCGCCGCCCCTACCGGCCCCGTCGCCGCCCCTAGCGGCCCCGTCGCCACCCCTACGCGGCCCCGTCGCCGCCCCTAGCGGCCCCGTCGCCGCCCCTACGTGGCCTCGTCGCCGCCCCTACTGGCCCCGTCGCCGCCCCTACCGAGCAGCCGAGCTGCCTAGCACGCCAGCCGCCGAGCCACCCAGCAGCCGAGCCGCCAAACCGCCGAGCCGCCGAGCCGCCGAGCAGCCGAGCCGCCGAGGCCGCCGTCAAGCCGCCACTACCGAGCCACTGCCGCGCCGCTGCTACCGCGGTTGCCGTCCTGTTCCTTCCAGCGCGCCCCAGCCCTGCCCACCCGTACAGGTGAGAGCACTCCCTACTAGACCACTGCTGTCATGGCTACCCCCAGTGTCCTTACCTTTGATGCTGAGGGTCGTGCTGTTGACTTCGAGGTCTGGGTAGATGACCTACAGCTTTTCCTACAGTGCCATAGGGCGGACGGACTCTCCCTGTTCGATCTCACCTCTGGTGCCTCTCCTGCCTCGCCTGCTGATGCTGACAGCACTGTCCGCTCACAATGGGCCACACGCGATGCTGCTGCTCGTCTTGCTGTGCGTCGCCACTTACCGACCACTGAGCGTGCGCACTTTAGTCAGTACAAGAGTGCTAAGACCTTGTACGACGCTGTAGTTGCACGCTACTCTTCCCCTGCCACTGCTACTCTTAGCCGCCTCATACTGCCGTACTTGTTTCCTGACCTCGCCGCCTTTCCCACAGTCGCTGACCTCGTTACGCACCTTCGCACTAGTGACACCCGCTACCACGCTGCGCTTCCTGCTGAGTTCTGCGCCAAGAACCCCCCCTCCCATGTACATCACCCTCTACTACATAGTCACCCGGCTCCCTGACTCCCTTCGCTCGGTCAGGGACCACTTCCTCTCTGTTTGCCCCACCACACTCACCGTTGACCTCCTCAAGGAGCGCCTCCTGGCAGCTGAGAAGAGTATAGTCGCTGTAGGAGCCTCTAGAGGTGACCCGCGTGCCCCTGTCTTTGAGGGGTGCTCCCCCTCCCCCCTTTTGCCCTCTGTTGCCTCTGCTGCTGCCGTCAACTTCGTTGGCACCGAGTCGGTCAGCGCTGCGTCTGCCCCTAGCGGGCAACGCCGCACCGGCAAGGGCAAGGGGGGCAAGGGCGCAGGAGGGGCTGGCGGGGGCGGTGGAGGTGGAGGTAGAGGAGGCAGAGGGAGTGGGGGTGGTGGTGGGAGTGGTGGCGGGGGTGGGGGCTTCGGTGGCGGCAGTGGCGGCGGAGGCGGCGGCGGCGGTGGCAGTGGGAGCGGAGGAGGAGGCGGTGGCGGAGGTGGCGGAGGTGGCGGCGGAGGAGGTGGAGCTAGTCGGGGTGGCTCTGCGCAGCGGGGCAGCTTAGGTGGTGGTCAGCGCCAGCAGCAGCAGCGCACTCGTGAGACCCCGTCCCTCAGCAGCTTCGTGAGTGGTACGCTGGGCGTCAGCAAGGTGGGGGTACTGGTCCTTGTACCTACATCCTCCGTACCGGCGACCGCGCTGGTGAGCAGTGCGGGGGCTCGCACTCCATCCAGCGCTGCTTCGGCCGCCTGACAGACGCTTGGCGTCTCCAGTTCCCTGACGCCACTGAGATCCCTCGCCGGGGAGAGCTGTCTAGGGCGGGGGTTGCTATCTTTGATCTTGACTATGATGCTATTCTTGCTGCCATGTATGCTGTGTCTACTAGTGATGAGGGTGACTGTTACCTGTGTGTTCCGCCTGACCCGGGCATTGAGGCTGCTGCTCTAGGTGCAGGTGATGCTGCTTATCTAGGTGCTAGTGCGTCTGCTGCCCCTGGTGCTGGTGAGTGTGCTCTCTCAGGTACCATGTCGGCTCAGGCCTTACACACCTTCACCCTTGACTCGGGTGCTTCCCGCTCCTTCTTTCGAGACCGCACCACGCTTACGCCGCTTAGTCGGCCGGTTGCGGTCTCCCTGGCGGACCCCTCTGGGGGTCCTGTCCTTGCTAGCTTCTCCACTGTCTTACCGTGTCCGGCAGCCCCCTCTGGCACCCTGTCAGGTCTCTACCTCCCCTCGTTCTCTACGAACTTGGTGAGTGGTGCTGATCTACAGGATAGGGGGGTTGACCAGTTCACTCCTGCGAGTCAGCGGGTGACCCACTGTACGTGTGCTCGGACGGGCCGACACTTGGCCACGTTTACCCGTCGGCCGGGGTCGAGCCTGTACACACTGACTACTGAATCTCCTCCGGTTGCTGAGTCTGGTCAGATAGCTGCGTCGAGTCAGGTGTTTGCTGCAACGTCCAGGTCTGGTCCTGAGTCTGCTCCCTGCTCGTGTCGTCTCCTATCCCACCAGACTCTCCTTTGGCACCACCGCCTTGGTCACCCCTCCCTGCCTCGTCTCCGAGGCATGGCCTCCCGTGTCCTTGTCTCTAGTCTCCCCCGGTCCTAGTTATCACTTTCCTAGTTATCGGCTGTGCTCCAGTAGGAGGGGGAACAGCAGAAGGAGCAACAGCAGGTGCAGCCCGGCTGTTAGCGGCGTTGGCAACTCGCTCTGCTGCAGGAGCAGGCTGGTAGAGGTTTCTACGCCGGATCTCCCTGTACTAGGCCTAAAGCACAGAGATGTGTTTCTCTTGCTTCTTGAGCTGATCCTGCACGAACTGGAGAGTAGTCTGCAGGTCCTGAATGAAGCTGGAGGTGTCGTTCTCCTTAGTGATCGACTGCACCTCCCTTGTCAGCTGCTCAATCAAGGCCTGAAGCTTAAAAGAATCAGCCTCCGAGTTCTGGATGCGGCACTGTTGCATTCCAACGAGAATATTCTGCCCCGTGGGTTGAGTCTGGAGCTTGACAGCAATGTTCTCAGTCTTATTGGAAACACCCTCATCAGAGCCAGCCTCATCCTCATTTTCAGCATCAGCCTCAAGGTCAGCTTCACATTAATCTCCATGTCAACCACAAAGTCCTTAAGGTTGAGATCTATGTCAGCAGCAGCAGCAGCAGCATTATCTCCCTCATTGCCAGCAACGGGCACCTCCTTAGTAGCATCCATCTCTTGACCAGAAGCCATGAAACAGGTTAAGGAGAGGAGATCTCAACAAATCTTATAATAATCTTTAAGAAATCTGAGTATCCTTATAGAATAATCCAATACAGAATCTCTTAAGATTGACTTGTTTGCTAAATCTCTCTATCACCTCAATGATAGAGCAAGATATACTCAAAAGAGTAATCCTCAACAAGTCCTTGTAGATCTGAAGATACACTCTTCTACTACAGGTAGATTTGAGTCTTCCACCAAAGGTGGGTAAGAAAAATGAATCTCTTCAAATTTCTTCACAATGTTGATGAAGAAGGGGAGCTTTTTGTAGATCTTGTAGCTCCAATGGTGGTTTGAAGAAATTGAAGTTGAAGATGTAGATCTTGAAGATGGTTTCGTAGATCTTGAAATTTCTTCAATATCTTCAAGATCTTGATAGCTCCTTGGATGAAATCCTAGATCCACAAGCTAGGATCCTAAAAAAAAAAAAAAAAAAAAAAAAAAAAAAAAAAAAAAAAAAATCCAAGTAGCAAATGGCCACACAAGGCCAAGGAAGAACCTTGCTCTAGATACCAATGTAACACCCAAGGCTATTATAATGGAGTTACAATGCTTTTATAATAAATCTCAATACAAGTTGAAGCTCTAACTAGCTCCCAATAGCCTTGGAGGTGTCAATCTTCTTGAAGGAGTTGTTGAAAAGGCTTGAGAGAATTGTGTAGGAAGGCTTGTGAGAGAGCTCTCAAGGACTTAGGCAAAACAATCCCATTTCCAATTGTTTAGTTGGAGTGGGAGGTTGAGAAATTAGCTTGCTTAGCTCAAACCCCCTCAATACACCCCTTGGGGAACTATCCCAACCATGGTTTCCATGGTGGGATGGTTCCTAGGCTTGGAGCCTATGTGGCAATTGTGTTGGGTTGGAAAACCCAACTTAGAACCATTCAATGGTTGTGTTTAGGATAGAGTAGATTGTAACACTTGTTTGGCAGTTTCTGATTGGTTGGGATTCCAACCTTCAACATTCTCTTGGTTGAGTTGGAAATGTTCCTAACCTCCAAAGTTGAGGCTTGGCAAACCCAAACCAAGTTTCAACCCAACCAACTCAACCATCTTCTCCAACTCTTCCTTTGTCGAGAGAAGTTCTCAACAATAGACTTAGAGAGAGATCGATGGTTGTTAGCTCGGTAGTTAGGGTAATACGTTACACTGAGAGCCGAAGTCTGCAACGAGTCACTGCTGGTTCCGCCCACCGCTGGTTAATTATCTATCCCACACGGATCAATAAATATCTTCGGTACAATCTGCCTCGATTTGGGCCGGAATGCCGTCGTCGGTGAGCAGTAGAGGAGGAGCAGGAGGAGGCACGCTGCTGTGGTGGTACTAACGTGAGCGCGGAACGCGTCGTGAAGAACGGAGACGGAACGCGCGGCTCAAGGATATTCTACGTCCGCCATGTTTGACTCCGAGTCAAGCGATTGCTAGCTTCCAGAAAATGTCCTGGGAGAAACCAAACCTACTTTACAGTTTCAGGGTGAAACCCGAAATGAGTTTCCATTTCGAGCGAGGAAGTAAGATAAGGGAACGAATAGGAGCGATACGAAGCTGAGTTTTTAAGATAAGATGGCGGTGAGCTTTCCTGGAAGAGCTGAGCGCACGACATCCGCCCAATAAGTGTCCTACGTGGCAGTTTCCACGACAAAAGACACACCCAGCACGTGCCATGCAATATTCTCGCCAACGGCCGTCCACATAACATACTGAGCTAGTCATTGCCGGTTCGTGTAAGAGAGCGATGCGCGTAGGCTAGGGCACTGAAACGAACGGCTGCTGCTACAGCAGCAGCATGGACGAATGAAATGCACGCGACGGTAGCGCAAGCACTACGTGGGCTTGGCTTGGTTTGGCAGGCATTCGTCCTTCCAAAGAAGCATCACCATTAGCGAGAAGCTGCACTACTGAGAGGCACCACTTGCAAAGGCTAGCGGGTGGGAAGTAAGTGTGAGGAGTTGAATCGCATAGCAGCTGTGGATTGGATTGGTGTGGAAGTGGAAGTGGAAGCGGAAGCGGAAGTGGAAGTGGAAGGTGTTTGAGCTGTCAAGGGCTGGGTTGGATTGGGATGGGTTGGTTTGGCTTGGTTTGGGGTGAGGGCATTTAGGCCGAGGCTGGGGAATTGGTGCAACTGACGGCTAGAGGCGGAATCAGGAATATAGAAAGCGAAGAGATTCGTGAAAGGTTAAGTGTGGTCCATTATCGCTATAACTTGACGTAGCACAGTGAATCGGTGATACTTTCTGTGTTGTATATCTCAACGGAACGAAGGGCACGGTGAATCGGTGATACATTCTGTGTTGTATATCTCAACAAGACGGAGGGGGATGGCATGCCATTCGGGAGCCTCAACCCTAATTGGTCTGGGTTTATTGGTAAAGGTAAAGGTAAAGGTTTTAGGGGAAATCCCCTTTGGTATTACCCCGGCTGTCGATCGTAATCTGCCTACCCACTTGTTTACACGCCTCGCTGAGTATCAAGGTAGGACTATCCACTCCCAGATGAGCAGCTGTCAGAGTTCTTGAGGGAAATCCTAAAAGAACGCTGACAGAAAGGGGAGGGGCTGTAATTGAGGCAAGGAGGAACAATGTGTACATTTGTATATAGTCGAGAAAGTGGATAACGGGGTGTAGAAGCAATAGCAGGAGGTGGAGGGCAGCTCGGCATTGGCAGGCAGTGGGTAAAGGTTGGGACGAACCTGTGGCTGGCTGGGAGAAGGGATGGCGAGCTTACGTGGCGGAAGGGGGTGAATGGGGTTTGAGGGGATGCATGTGTTTGTTTTTTTGCTTGTGTGCAGACACCGAGTCCAGGGGGAGCTGGAAGTCACACCCGCCAGCTGGAGGAAGGCAGGATAACTGCAAGGGTGGCGAAGCTCGGCTGCTAGCACTCATCTGTTGGTAGCCATGCTTAGCTAGGCTAGGGTGGGTGCAATATTAGAGGTTCCTGGGCCATGGGACTGCTACTGCGTGATTGTTTTCGCAATTTACTGTGAATTCTTCTCAAGATAAGCAGTCTCTTAGCGAAGCCATATCCGCAGTCTGATGGATTAGGGGAAGGGCATTTAGTACAATCACGCAGTCCGAATGCGATTGCGGTCAGGAAGGTGGATAGAAGCAGTCAGAGCTACGCAAGGACAGGACGAGAGGATGATGGGAGGAGACGGGAATCAGCGGGAGAATAACCTGCCGCCGGGAGGCGGAGATGTAGAAGGCCAGACTGGGCCCTGTGAGGGAGCAACCGGCCCCAGGGGAGGTGCTCAGACCGGAAGCGCAGGCGGCGGAGGCAACGCGCCGACTGGATCGGAGGGAGCGCAGGGGCCGCAGGCGCGACCGCGGTCGCAAATGGGTGGACCGGTGGGATATCAGCGTAGCGCCTCGTGGCAAGGCACGGAGGACGAGACGATGATGCAGCGCTGGAAATACATTCAGATGCCGAAGATAGAAGTGCCGGAAAGATTCTCCGGCGATGCTCGACGAGGTCCGAGCCTGAAGAACTACATCATGCAGTTGGAAAATCTGCAAGTGCGATGGGCGAAGGATCAGCTGGACCCAGAGGAGTTCTTCCGAGGGCTGGCCAATACGCTGACCGGGGAGGCAGAGACCTATTACCGCATATCTCGCAAGGAGCTGTTGGAGTGGGCGGCAGGGCGGGCCCCGGGCGAAAGGGATCCTACGGCGAGGTTCCTAGCAATGTTGCGAGAGCAATTTCCTGCGCAAACGGCGGAGCGAGTGGTCGAATTCCGGTCGTTCAGAAGGCGAGAGGGAGAATCGCTGCTGGCATACTACGGGAGGCTGGTGGAATTGGGGGAGGACATGAACTGTGGAGACCAGGGACGACTGATCGGGAAGTTCGTCCATGGCCTGAGTCAACCACTGCGGCAGGACGTGGAAGTGCGGGTGTTCGAGCTGGGCGCGGAAGCGACGCTGAAAGAGGCGTACGAAATTGTTAAACGAGTGGAGACGGGACGCAGGCTCTACGAGGTCGAGAGAACAGTGGATCGGGGTTGCGAGAGGAGACGGCCGGCATGGGCAGCCGCGTCCGCGTATCAGGAGGTGGAGGAAAGGGGAAGGGAAGAGACCCGACGTTGCCATAACTGTGGGCAGCCGGGACATCTGCGCAGGGATTGCCGGAACCCAGCAGCCTGTTCGCTCTGCGGGAGTCGCGAGCATTTGCGACGGGACTGTCCGGGGGCCCCAGTGTGCGCACGCTGTGGAAGAAAGGGGCATCGGGAAGCAGATTGCTACGCAAACCGCAGGGACAGGCGAGGAGCGGAGGGAGGTGAAGATCGGCAAGCCATCATGGCGCGGGTGCGGGCGCAATTAGCAGAACTAGAAGCAGTGGAGGAGAAGCAGCCGGCGATGGTGGCA